ACACAACCCCCCCACCCCCACCCACACACACTCACACACCACCACCACCACCAACACCAACAACAACAATCGCTAAAAAAACTGACTTCAATGGCAAAGTTGCTCCTGGGACTGTACATCTCTGGTATCGTGGACCATGTCTTCTTGACAGGACAGAAGCGCTCGCCGGTGTTCATTCGGGTGATGCCGTTGAAACCGCCCAGAGCGTAGATCATGCCGTTGTAGGCGATCACTCCCACTCCGCTTCGACGGTTTCGCATGGGACTGGACAAAGGGAAAAGGAGCAGGAAGAGAGAGCAGGAGTGTTTCACTACTGCATGTACAATGTATGTGTTTTGTGGGGAAAGTTTTTAGTAGAGGTTTTATGGCGCTCGCAACTGCATAAGAAGGTCATATGAGCGCCAGAAGATTAGAGGCGAGAGGTGTTACAAGACAGTAACAAACATAAAAAAGAAGAAGGGGAGATAGATAAGGACGATAGATGTTTCCCAGGAGGAAAGAAGAAGCAGACCACACCAGAGCACCCGCCAACCACTCAATGGGAAAGTTTTTACTTCGGCACTTGCGACACAAATAGGTCATAACATTACATTGTAATCTAAGTGCTGGTTATGAAAGTGAAAGAATCATCTTGTTTTTATTTTATATATACTTCTTATTTTGTCGCTCGCATAATACTGAAGAAAAGTTTGCCTGTCCCCTTCCCCCTCTCCACACATCCTTCCTTTTTAAATCGCACTCACTCATTTTAGTTTTGTTTTAGTAGAGGTTTTACGGCGCTCGCAGCTGTCTAAGGTCATAATATGAGCGCCAGAAGATTAGAGCTGTTACAAGAGAGTAACAAACATTAAAAAAAGATTTAAAAAAAGAGCACCCACTCTGCTCCGACGGCTTGGCATGAGACCTAACGAGAGAAAAGGAGAAGTGAGAAAGAACAGGAGAGTTTCAATGCCAGACTGTTCGGTTTATTGAGAAAGTGACAGAAAGACCTTTTTTTTCTATTTACCCTAAGAAAAACCAAATCCGCTTTAACTGACTACAATATCATATATGTCCCTGCGGTTTTATGAAAAAAATAATTCTGAAATTATGCAAACTGAGCCCAAAAAATGTGAAATTATGCGATTCTGTTAACTTTTAACAAAGAACGATAAAGGAAAATAATCAGAAATTATGCAAAAAATGATCAAATTTTGCTAAATTATGCGGGGTGCATAAAACCACGGGGACAGTTATATGATGAACATTAAGAGAACAATTGTTCACCTGATCAGCGTCCATTGGGATATGGAGGGATCGTAGTACTCCACCGAGTTCAGACATTCCTGGCCGTTAAAACCACCACAAATGTAGATTCTGCCTGAATGGAGACGAGCATTGAGTAAACCTGTGCCATTTCACTTTTGCTAACTTGATTCTGGGTTCTTGCTATTGGAACATCATGAAGTGCGTATGATGTGTTTCAATCAATTCGCTACCTACACGTGAGCAGGTCTTTTTTTGCAATTTGTTAACTGGTCAAAGAGTCTGCATGCCCCCCCCCCTCCCTCTCTCTCTCCCTGTCTCCATG